ATATATATATACATACACACACATATACATATATATACGTGTATATATATACACACACACATATGCATGAATATATGCATATATATGTGTGTGTATATATATATATATATATATATATACACACACATATATATGTACACACACACACTACACTTATTGTTTGTTGATAATTCAGATTTTCAGTTGTCTCATGTTTATTTAATTTGAATCAGGAGCACAACAAAGCTTATACCTTAAAATTGTTTGTTATAGATTAAGAAAAATCTTGATCTATAAATTTCATCGCCCTGCCCAGCTTTTTTCTTTGTTGAAGGAACCTAGTTTGTTTTTCTGTAGTTCTCCCATTGTTTGGGTCTTGCTAGTTGCTTCCTTTGGAGTATTTAATGTGCCCCTCTGTATCTCTCCTAAGTTGTTGGGTCCTGAGCAGTAGTTCTTCTAGATGGGTTGTTGGGTACCACATGTGAAGATTCTGATTTAAAATGTCTGTCATGGTGAGTGAGAATTTGCTTTCAGAAAGTCACCTAGAAGTTTCTAGGTGCTGATTTCCATTGAGAATCTATCACATTGAGTTGTAAGTTCTTCGATCAGAAGGCGCAAAATGTCTGGTGATCCTTTTTAATACCCATGGATCTCTGCCTTAGATTCAAGAGCTCACTAGGAATTGTAGCTGGTGCTGTTTTGCAGCTTTTTGATAATGATATTTTGTTAAGTTGAAGCAAATTATTAGATGATTTGTAAAGCTTTGAATAGCACATTGGTGCCTTTGATTTGAATTTGCTTAAAAATATGGGGTGGTTCAATTTTCACATGTGAATTCTAGGGTCTAGGCTATATGCCATTGCTCTCCATATGTAGTGTGAAGTACTGTGATGAAAGGGGGCTTCACTTGGCATGGTTGTGTGCACCTGTGGGTCCAGCTACTTGGGAGGCCGATGTGGGAAAATCACTTGAGCCCTGGAGTTTGAGAACACCCTGAGCTACATAGAGAAGCATTTTTTCAAAGCGGGGGAAAACTTGACTTTCTAATGCTGCTGGCCAATATTCTCAAAGAATAAACAAAGTTCCCAGTTTTGTATGAAGATGGTTGTAGTTGAAACAGTGCTTTATTTGGAAAATTAAAGAATTTTTGGGGTGCCCTTTTTTTTTAGATAAGAAGTAGATTGTTCTATGGAAGGTCTAATAGTTGGGAAATTAATTAAAATCCTAGCAAGGTTTCGCAGATAACATTTTTGTATTTTTTTTATTTTTTGATACTGGGATATTGAACTCAGGACCTCGCACTTGTGAGGCAGGTGGCAGCATCACTGAGCTAAATCCCCACCCCAACATTTTATAATTTGACATGAACTTAGAGGCAGTATAGCAGCAAATAAAGCCTGGGCTGTTTTGATAAGCTATGTGTCTTTGATCATTTGGGAATTCCCCTGTGTGAAAGTGGAACCCTTGTCTTGTCTTCCCTGAAACAATTGTTTCGATAATGAGGGTCCATGTTTTTATCATTTACTGAACATACCTGAGAAATCTACTCGGGTGGTGTCTTAGTTGCCGTCTGTCCTTGCTGAGACACAGTTCTTGACACCCATAGCTTAAAGGAGGAGAGGTTTATTTTGGCTCATGGTTTAGGAGTTTCAGTCCTAGTCTGCTGGCTCCAGGGCAGGGTGGCATGGCAGAGGGGTATGGGAAGGAGGCTTGTTCACCCATGGCATGGCAGGGGAAAGCAGACAGAGATCAAAGGAGGGGGGACAAGTCCCACCCCCAATGACCCACCTCGTCCAACCAGGCTCCACCTCCTAGTGTCACATCTAGCTTGTGATCTTGGTGGACAAGTCCTGTGCTGAGTATCACACCCCCACAATCTAGTCACCTTCCCAGAGTACCATGAGGGCCTGAGGCTTTGGGGGGACATCTAGATACAAACTATAACAGATGACAGAAAATTTTTCACTATCAGAAAATTCACCTGTACTTGTTAGTTGTTGCTTTGAAATTCTGAGGTTTTTCACTTGCTGGTATATAAGCCATTTTACAATTTCATTAAAGTTTGAAAAAAAATTCATTAAAAAAGTATAAGTAAGGGTGGGGGATTTAGCTCAGTGATGCCGTCGCCTGCCTTGCAAGTGCAAGGTCCCGAGTTTGACCCCTGGTCAAAAAAAAAAAAAAAAAAAAAAAAAAAAAAAA